TACAGCTTGTTTACAGGATTAACAATACTCGGTACAGCTTTTAAAAAAATAAGCTGCTTTTCAAACTTCTAAAACCACATTTTATAGGCCGCATACTTTCGAATTAAAGTCCATATCTAAATATCAATTATTGCTTCACTGGAAGAGCTTTGAAAATATATGATCGTTTATACTCTACCTTGAAGCAGGTGAAACACAACTCATAAATACGCGCGTGGTACCGTTTGCGATAGCCGAATTCGGTCAGAAATGTCTTGAAGTAGCATCCACACCAAAATATGAACCCTTAAACAGCTGCACCACTGTACACAGCGTTTGAATCATGAAGATATTTAATATAATGTTTCCAAACACCTGTAGCCGTAATAAAAGACGAACAAATTGTAAAGAATCAAGATGGCGGTCTTAAAGTGCCCTTGTTCGACCTTTAACAATGTGATTTTTAAGTAGATGCCAAGATCTCATTGGTTCCTTAGCATCAACTCATAGTACCTTCAACCTTATTGGCTCTTGCAACAAACATCCGAACATACAAAGTTACAAAGATACAAAGTTACAAAGTTACAAAGTTACAAAGTTACAAAGTTACAAAGATACAAAGCCACAAAGATACATACACTCACACCACTGACATATGAGCTATTTTTTCAAAATAGCTCAATAATTAGGTAACAATAAAAGCGCTTTTGTTGCTTTTCTTTTAATTCCTTTGAACTTTAGCTCGGCTGTTGTCAGAAAAATTATTGGCGACGGTTCGGCAGTTTACTCCCTCAGTTTAAATGTTACGTTAACAGTTTTATGCAACTGTGCTCTGCAGTAAAATACGGGAGAGTATCTAGGAACATTAAGCTCACATCTCTTCACCTGGTGAAGGCAGTGGGTGCAAAATATGATTGCTGTAAAGCCACTTTTAGTTAATGTTTACTGACTTTACTAAGTAGGGCAAAGATCTATAACACAAGTAGAACAATTGGATCAAAACCATGTTTTACTTGGTCGGCCGACAAAAAACAATCACACTTCATGAAGCGGCTAACACGCTTCAAGGGCTGCACCTCGGAAGCAATGTCACTGGGTACGGGAGAACCAATGCCAGTTGGTCTTGTAATCAAATATTAAAAGTCTCCAAAAAATGTGTATTTCAAGACGAATCAAGCACTCAAGGAAAATTACCTCAATACGGTAAAATAGGCACGCCGTCGACCTCAAGTTTATCAGTTATTATTACTGTCACGAGTTATTGACGTCAAATATGGTCGCTTTACCTTTTTCTACCTTTTTATTAAGCCCTGGGGACGAGGTTGTAAAACATGCCTCTCCAGGAATTTCTAACACTCTTTCTTTTTTTTACACGTTTGCATTTAAAAAGAAGTGTATGAAGTCCCTGCATGCCTAGACACCTTTTTAGGAGCTCATTCACTTCAGAGCCTTTGCACCAGAGTGTTAATTGTAGGTCTATACGACCTTTTTAAAAAAAGGAAGGTCGTCGCGTGCGTTACAATTTACAAATAAACTAAGAGCTGAAATCTACAGGAACAAGACCTCTTTTAGCCAACCAATGATGCATCATTTATGAAAATGAATATAATTTCTTTGATGCAATTAGGCGAATACCCCGTGGTTACGAAAACTTACGATCATGAATTCGTCAAGAGCAATTCAGTTACCAACTTTTCACAAAATAATGCTGTGGAAAATTACAGAAAATGCCAAAAAAAGCAAGGGTCAACAATAATTATGGCCTGGTCCCTTATAATAATGGAGTGGTCATGAAAAAGAAGCCCATCATCCCCAACTTTGACCACTCAAACAGATTTCTGACAGATTACATACCACAAAACTTTACATTCACTTATGCCTACGTTGCCACACCAGGAGCCTAGAAATCGGCTTCTGGTCACACCTTGTTTTTATTGCTGAATATCATTCTAAACAGTTTTACGAAATATTTTCTTAGTAGGGGTGTTTTGAACATGATTGAAATTTATAGATGGTGACAAAAACGAAGACAAAAAAAGTCACAACACGAGACGCATGAAACAACCACAATCTAATATTCGTGTTACATCGATATATTAAACGGCTCCTTTGGCTGCTATGCTGACGTTCTTGAAGATGGAAGTAGTATCACAGCTAGTCCCGGGCTGGTCATACCGTTTATTACCAGTTTCACGGTTCCTGGGACTTCAGTAGGGCCTGTTGACATAAAGGTGGGGGACCCCAGGTAGGTGAGGTAACCTGCTAAGGTGAGGTAAAAAAATAACCCTCCTTTACATGCAATCTTACAACCCCGCCATCCTGGGGTGCAGTTTCTCAAGATTATTGAATGGTCGCTAAGCACGTAAACAAGAAAAATGCTGGGAAACCACGTGTACGCTCACTTGCTGCTCTCGCTGCAACCTTCAGTGTTGTGGCTTTCTATCGTTACCTTTAATAATAATGTGAAGCCACCCGGCGCCAAAGTGAATTTTACGCGAATTTGATGTATCAGCACGAATCCGACCCCGACTAGCCTGGGTTACCTCACCTTGAAACGTTGATATGGCAAAATATGACCTCAGCTGAGAGGGTTACCTAGTGTGGCAGAGCGGGCTACCCACCTTGAAGGGTCACCCCACCTATCATGTAAACGTGATCAAATTAAAATGAGAGATTACATGGACAGGCGGGCTACCCCACCTAAGTTGGTTACCATGCCTACCTGGGGTCCCCTTCCTCCATGTAAACAGCCCCTAAAAGTTAGCCCGGTCCCCTTTCTACAGTTTCAGCAGTTAAGCCATTCACCATTTATCATTTGAGTCAATCTTGTACCACTTGAGTCTCACTTTTACGACTTGATAAGCTGTTATTTTTTTTGGACATGAGTGCTTCAGTGCCAGCTGTTAGAGGTTTCATGATAAACTGTGCTGTTTTTTGAAGCTTGGGCTAACTTATTTCCTTTTTTCGTTTATGAGACCAGATTCTTTCTTGCTTGTTTTTGCTTTGCAAAGCTTAGACAAACTGCGGAAATTGTAAATGATATGACTTGTGCCACGGTGCTTGCTTCTCTGTCAAAATATGCACGTGCTTCCAGCAGATAAAGAGAGACTGAAAGGCATCCAGGCCTATGTTAAGCTGAAAAATTAATTACCTCCTTAGGAAAGAACTATTTTGGGTTCTGTCATTTCGTTATTTGCTCTTCATGGACAGCTGTCATAAATCCCTGATTATATGTGATACAACAGATTCTCTGACGATTTCTTTTTTCTGAAATTTTGTGTGTGAATCGCTATGCCATACACTTTCTTTAGCTTAAAGTGAAATGTAATGACTAGTAATACTTGATAAATAAGGCTTAAGCCACACAATAAGGCCTCCTCTAATTGAAATACATTAGAAAAGGAGAAGAGAACCCCAGAAGCTGAGTACTTAAATGTTATGAAGCAAAGACGAGGCCATCTTAGAAATAACTTATGAAAATGTGGGCGGACTGTGGACTTGCTTTAAGGGCACAGTAATAATGAACTTAACTATACAATCAATAAGCTAATAATGGATGGGAATGCCAGATGTTAGAGTGAAATTGCTTTTTACAACATGAGAAGAGCATTCTGAGTGATTTAAGGTATAAAATAACAATTTTCAATCAAAACACCACAGGCACCCCAACAGGTGAAATTTACAATAAGTAAATCCTGTTTAGCCCGCTTCAGTGGCATATTTGCATTGGGCACCCCCTCTAATATTCATGGTACTGCAATAAGCTATCGCTGTGCAAAGTTTGGTGCTTTTGTCAACTCTGTAACGATCCTGACCTTAAGAGACCTGACTATTAACCCCATGCTATACATGACCAGTGTCACTTGTGATTCTGTTGAAAAGATCACTGTCCCTTCGCATTCTTAATTACATCAGATATCAAAATGATCTCAAGTTGTTTGTATAGCCAAAACGATAGCCTCGTCGAAATAAGCCATCAATCCGACCTAAATGTTTGCTTTGATAGGCAGATCCCCACACTTTTAATCCATACAGAAATAATGACATTGTCAAAGAGTCGTAAAGTTGACTAAGTTGATCTTTAGTGTACCCATAATACTTTCACACTTTAAGAATATGCAGTCGACCAGCAGCTCGAGAAAGTAAACAAGTCCAATTACGAGGATCTTCATGGAAAGCATTTCCCAAAAGTTTCAACCACTCAATCTTATTGTATTATTTCATTTGAGAGAAAGGGTTTATGTCCTCAGGGTTGATAACAGAGCTGATGTTTTAATGCCTTAGACTCTCTGCCAATGATTTTGTTTACAGTATTCCACCATTTATCCTTGCTTTTAGGTCAGCATTTCTTGGCGTTCCTATTTCTGATGGTACACAGGTGTTTAACCAGTGGCGACATATGGGGGGGGAAGGGAGGTCCCTCGAAGACACCTTAACCTTCATCAGGGAAAAGCATTCGTTGAATATACCTGTGAGGGTGTTATCAAATAAGTGAATCACCTCGATGATCATACATGCAAAGATTCATATCGTATAAAAAAATTCATTTCATACATTGCCTGGAATATTGGTTTCTCAAACTCATTAATAATTCATTAAGAAAATGCAAAGGAAATTAATGTTTAATGAGTGTTTGGAAATCGGATGAAACACTGCTTAGTATTTGCATCCTTAATTTCTCCTTCAAAAATGATTTTGTTTGAGAAGAAATATCAAACGTTCGACACAGTGTTTCATCACCAGATGAAACACCTCGATGTTCGTCAAAAATACTCCGCTGCGCGTCGTATTTTCAACTCTCTTCTCGGTGTTTCATCTGGTGATGAAACACTGCATCTCATGTTTGATATATTACATCTCAAACTACTTTGACGTCAAAATAGCTAACGCTAAGTTTAGTTTTTTGAGAAAAGGACAAAGGAGGAGAAAATTTAGGAAAAGTAGAATCGAAACATAACATGCTGAGGAGGCATCTAAAACCTCAGTCATGACTTCGTTGTTGTTTCTTTTCTGCCAGAAGTTGAAATGACAACATTACACCGATTTCGTCTGCAGAAGAGGATATTTTGGAACTCTCTCCTGAATACAGGATTCATCCCAACGTATATAGAGAATACTTCATGGAAAGTGCTGGCGTACGGTATTTACGCACGAGTTGTTGACGTATCAGAAATCGAACGAGTGAGCGCAGCGAACGAGTAAGATTTCTGATACAAAAACAACGAGTGCGTAAATACCGTACAAAGCACTTTCCATGTGGTATTGTGTTTATTATAAACATACTGAGACATTCATCATTTTGGTGGCCTTTTTATTTTAAATCTTTCAAAAATGCTAAAATTTGCCGCTACACACTTACCGCAAAATGACAACGAAAACGAAGTATCAGCTTTTTAGTAAACACGTTTGTTAAAAACATAAATGACGGTAAGGATATGAGGTAATCCAAGAACTATAAGTAATCTTAACTGTTTGTTCTCAATGCACAATTGAAAATGAGTGAATTTAAGTAAAATGGCCGGTTTCAATATAAGCTTAAGCTTAAATGAAAGGCAAAGTAGCTCCGACAAAAAGCACAACAAAAGCTTACGTCTCGTTCTTTTTTTCCCTTTCCACTGTTGTTTCGCTTGCTCTCTACCGTTTTCTTTATCGACAGCGAAACAAACGAAACTATTCCACTCCATTTCCGAAATGTTTTTCACTTTTTTAGCGAGAAAAACTCTTTGAGTAAAACTTTTCTCGTTGAATGTGTGCGAAGCGGCGCTGCAAGCTGCAATAAAAGGCGGGAATTTTGGCGCGAAACTCACACACCTTTGTGGCTTCTGATTGGACGTATCATTTTTCTCACACGCGAAAAAACATCGTTCGCGATTCTGATTGGACGTATCATTTTTTTCACGAGTGAAAACCATCGTTCGCTCCTCTGATTGGCTAGAACTGATTTGCGTACGAAAATTTACGACATAGCTTTTTGGTGAGTATTTCTCAGTATGTATATAATAAATAAACGGACTTATTGTGTTTGATAGATAGAGGAAAAACATGCAAAGTAGTTCAACGTTTGGTGGCATCATCGCAACGAGACGCAAGCGCCGTAAAACAACGATAACCCAAAATGGGATCCAGCAAATCATGAACGCAAACACAATTGCGAAAAGAGATTTACTGAGATTGATCTCATGTAAACTGAGGGACGATAACGCATTGATGTTGTGTTGTCGCATCACTTTCGCGACCCTTGTGTAGTTAAACAGACTAGTTATGAGCGGGGTTAAAAAGAAAATAAGAACAATGCTGTAATTGATCGTTTTTCCTATCTTGCTGAGATGACCAATGGAGCACTGAGCGTACCCTGGTACAAATTCGTACGCTTGAAGACCAGCCAGGCGAGGAACTACTGCGTAGCAAGCAACAGAAAACCAAACGATAGACAACAACAAAAGCAACTTTCCCGCACTTCTCACATGATTTATTTCATATACACATAAAGGCATTTGTCACAAAAGCAAAATAACACAACTCAGTTGACATGTCAACTCAACCTAACTCTAAGATGCGCAGTTTTGCCGTTTTAAATCAATCCTGTAACGTCAAAATTACGTTACGGTTATAATAAATTTAGTAAATTAAAAGTATGTAAGCTAATAGATTAATAAGGAAACCTTGAAATACGACGTATTTAAGTAAAAAATGCAAATTTTTCAAAGCATGAATGCAAAAATCGGTTGCCATAGAAACGTCTCTGTTGACGAACACCTTAAAAAAACTTCTAAAAGGACACCACCTCCCCAATATGGGTGATTATTCTCTACCGTGGATTTTTCTAGCTTGAACAAAGTAAAACGTCACATTGCCTTGATGACGTCAAAAAAGGGATAAGTCAAAGAACAGCATTCCAAAACTTTTCGTCATAAACTGTAAACTAAGATTGTAAATAACAAAAAAGAAATTAAAAAACATTTAAATGGAAGAAGAACGTAAGCAGAGACAGTGAGGAGAAATAGATTTCATCCCTCCGTTTTTCTGCTTCGGAAAAGCGTCACATGTCTCAAGATTCCGCCTACAAAAAGCTTTCGCATATAAATAGAAAGGATCTAAACCTCATCAGTTGACATCTCTTTTCTACTGGAAAATGAAACGGCAAATTCACGATTTCGCCCGCAGCTATTTAAGTAAAAAGTGCAAATTTTTCAAAGCATGACTGCAAAAATCGGTTGCCATAGAAACGTCTCTGTTGACGAACACCTTAAAAAATCTTCTAAAAGGACACCACCTCCCCAATATGGATGATTATTCTCTACCGTGGATTTTTCTAGTTTGAACAAAATAAAACGTCACATTGCATTGATGACGTCAAAAAGAGGATAAGTCAAAGAAAAGCATTCCAAAACTTTTCGTCATAAACTGTAAACTAAGATTGCAAATAGCAATAAAGATATTAAAAAACTTTTAAATGGAGGATAAACGTAAGCAGACACGATGAGGAGAAATAGATTTCATCCCTCCATTTTCCTGCTTCGGAAAAGCGTCACCTGTCTCAAGATTCCGTTTGCAAAAAGATTTCGCATGTACAGAGATAGGATCTAAACCTCATCAGTTGACATCTCTTTTCTACTGGAAAATGAAATGGCAAATTCACGGCGATTTCGCCCGCAGCAGAGGAGATTTCGAAATTCTCTTTTGAATACAGGATTCATTCCGGCGTAAATAAAGGGATTTATTGTGTTGGACAGGTAGAGGAGAAACATGCAGAAAAGTTCAACACTTCGCGGCATCGTCGCAACGAGCTTGAAGCGCCGTAAGACAACGATAATCCAAAAAGGGATCCAGCATATCATGAATGCAAACACCACTGCAAAGAGAGATTTGCTGATCTTAATCTCATGTGAGCTAATGGACGATGATGCGTTGATGTTGTGTTGACGGATCACTTCCGCGACCCTTTTGTAGCTCAAAAGAGTAGCTATGAGCGGGGTTAAAAAAAAGCAAATGAGGACAATGCTGTAATGGATCATTTTTCCTATCTCGCTGAGATGAGCAATGGAGCACTGAGCGTACCCTGGTACAAATTCATACGCTTGAAGACCAGCCAAGCAAGGGACTACTGTGTAGCAAGCAACAGAAAACCAAACCATAGCCAACAACAAACGTGACTTTCTCGCTGAAAAAAGTCTGTCGTATTGCTGGGTTGACCTGCATATCCTGACGTACCTGTTAACTGCTGTTAAACCCATAGTCACCGGAGAAATGTAGATGACAAACAGACTGAAGAAGGCGTGAAGTTGACAGATTGCTTCGCCGAAGATCCATTCGCCAGTAATAAGCACGCCAATACCAATAGGCATTACAAAGACAGCAGAGAGGAGATCACTTGCAGCCAAGGCGATGATATACAGATTGGTTGTTGTGCGTAATCGTACGTTCTTGTAAACGGACATACAAACCAAGATATTTCCTGCTACGGACAGAACGTTCAAAATTACGAGTGAGGTTACTTCCACGGTGATAAGGAAGGAACTGCGAGAGCTCAGACTGTCCGCCATTATAATAACAAAGATGTCTGCAAGGATAAATGTAGTAAATGTTCAATATACACTGGACTTGAATTATTCAGCAAAGCCAGTGTTGACTGAGGTCATCATTAGTCAACGCGTACTTCCTTGTCAACGCAGTGCTCCCAGGTTTATGCAAATAGCTGTCCATTGCGATACAGAGGCTTTCATTTTCGGCTTTCTTTAACGAGTTGCCAACCGGAAGATGGGAGCCAAAGTAACACCCCGACACCGTACTTTATACTACGTTGTATCTTTTAAGATCAAAGCACCTGCATCAGGGGGGTCTGAGATTGTTGCGTGACTTCGGCCCACGTGGTTGCGACGTAAACTAAAATCAGTAACATCCTATACTTATTGTTAGTCTTTAGATGTTTATTGATATGTTAAAAATACTCTATAATCAACCACCTGGAGGTTTTCGATTGCCTTTTTTCCCCTGATCGTTTACCGGTACCCTGCATATCTTAAATCAAATAATTAAAAGGTGTCGTAATCGAACGTTCTGAAATACAATGCTCAACGCGTTGGCTGTTGCAACGTCTATCGGCACGCAGTTTCGTTAGGCCGTTCGTCAGATGTACTTTCTCTAGTGAAAAGGAATTAAACCTAAGAGAGTTACTCGAATTGCAGAGAGGTGTATAGAGGTGTTTTCTAGAGCAAGTAACATTAAGCTGTTTTAAATAAAGATGTGCACCATTATAATATAAAAACACAGGAAACAAATTCTATGAACTTTCTTTTTTCGTACGGACAAATGATAACATTTTTAAAATTAAACAATACAGGAGCCGTCAGTTATTGGAACTTTCGTAATTCGTTGTCATTTAAGCAGGGGCACCCAACGGCAATTTTCGGGAAAATATCTGTTCGGAAGACGATTTGAGATCTAGAATTTTCGGAGCATTTGTTGTAAAATTTCTTGCTTGGCTGCCTCTCCTAGGATTTTCGAACATCTAAAATATGGTATAATGACCCATTTTTAAGGGATTTTGACCCTTAAAAAGGCCACCTAGAATTTTCGGAAGCCTTTTCCTGTCTGAAGTTTTTGGGAAGGTAAGTTTGTATCCCTATAATTTTCGGATCACTAGACTTTCAGCTAGGAAATCCGAACAGATGAAAAGATTTTAGGGGATAAAAATATGCCTATATCTACTGTTTGAATACTAAACTACGTTCAACAATGCTATGTTAAGTGGTTTTGAACTATATCCTCGTTGGGTGCCCCTGTTTAAGAAGAGCTTAAAAACCACTAATTTTCTGCGTGTTTAAGATCGCAGAAACAAGACTTCGATGAAAGTATTGTTGGTTTTCACATGACGTCACTAAAATTCAAACTAAAAAACTATCGATCCTACCGAGATTTTACTTTTACGATGCATTAGAGCAGCTGAAAACTAATTTTCATTCGCTTCAAAAGGGTTCTTGGTTTTGTGATAGAATATGCTTGAATTTTTTAGCTTTTGCATGACGCGCCAAGAGAGCGTGTCATGTAGGTTAAAAAATGACCTATTTCAGGAAATTATAAAAAGTATTACTTTAATGTTTATGAGTTTCTCGAAGAATAAATTCACGCTTTTGTAGCAAAACTCGGTAACAGATGTTTCTGCTGGTTTCCGTCCGCCATATTGGAGCTCATCCAGGTGAGCACCAGCATGGCGTCTCCATACAAATCTTTTTGGGTAAAACATTTCTTCGGATATCTCGTATACGAAAGATTCCTCTGACCTGAATCTTGGCGAGGGTCTTTGTATATGTACCTCCTTTCATTTCCCAGATTCTGGACTTTATCTATTGAACGGTTTTTATTTTTATTTTGATCTATTTTGAATGGCGTGACACTGAAAACCAGCAATAGAGTATTTTCACATGACGTCACGGTGGCCATATTGGTCTTCCAAGACAATAAAATGGCGGACATGTTGGAGTTCCAAAGTAGTCTTCTTTTTTGTGCAAACCGGCTTTCTTTTGTTCCGGTAAATTTGCATAGATGCTGGTCACGGCGTGAAAACGCTCCATACGAGTTATTAAACATAATTCTAAATCTAAGTAACAATAAAAGCGCTTCAGGCGATCTTCGTGACGTAAATGCAACTTAGTAAAGTTTCGTTGCTATTCTTTTAATTTTTTTGAACTTTAGTTCGGCTGTTGTCAGAAAAATTATTGGGAACGGTTGCTGTTTACTCCCACAGTTTAAATCTTACGTTAATAGTTTTATTCAACTGTGCTCTGCAGTAAAATACGGGAGAGTATCTGGGAACATTAAGCTCACATCACTTCACCTGATGCAACTGGGTGCAAAATATGATTGCTGTAAAGCCACTTTTAGTTAATGTTTACTAAGTAGGGCAAAGATCCATTACAGAAGTAGGTCAATTGAATCAAAACGATGTTTTACGTGGTCGGCGGACAAAAAATAACCACACTTCATGAAGCGGCTAGCAAGCTGCCAGGGCTACACCCCGGAAGCATTAGGGAGTTTAAGCTAGGGAGACTACAGACTACAAACTACGGCTGGACAAGCGTTGTCCTTTGTTTGTAGCACAGGGTTGAGTCGTGCAAATATAGAACGTTAAGATTGCACTACAGACAGTAGACTACGAGAGAAGAGGCGGAGAAGGAAACAACACGCAAAGATTTTCTTGTTTTCATCACAGTTTACAAAAATGCAAGTCAGTTTTGCCTGTGATCTTAAAATGAACAGTCACGTGGTTTTGATCATGCGCAGTAGCATGTTTAACCGTAGTCGTAGTCCGTACGTAGTCGCCGTATCTTAAACTCCCTAATGTCACTTGGTACGGGAGAACCAATGGCAGTTGGTCTCTGAAACAAAATGTTAAAAGTCTCCAAAAAATGTGTATTTCAAGACGAATCAAGCACGTAAGGAAAATTACCGTTGGTTATATACCCCTTTTGGTGACATCCCAAACATATAGAAGTCTTTATTAAGAAACCGGTCACAACAAACGTGTGGCTTTACAATCAATGACTAACTAAGCTAAGCTAAAATACCTATCAAATGTCATAGAAAATTAAAAAATAAATCGTTAAAAAGACACCTATTTACATCGTTCCGTTTTTACTCTAAGGAGCATCAAGTCATGACCCCTTTCTCTAAAAACCCTATTACGTTTATTTGGAGGCAAGTAGCCATGCTATACATAACCAGTGTCACTTGCGATTCTCTTGAAAAAATCACTATCCGTACATATTCTTAATTACATCAGATATCAAAATGATCTCATGTTATATGTATAGCCAAAACGATAGTCTCGCCGGAATAAGCAGTCAATCCGGTCTAAATGTTTGTTTTGATAGGCAGAGCCCCATACAGAAATAATGAAATTGTCAAAGAGTCGAAAAGTTCACTAAGCTGATCTTTAGTGCACCCATAATACTTGCATATTCTAAGAATATACAGTCGACCAGCAACTCGAGAAAGTAAACAAGTCCAATTACGAGGATCTTCATGAAAAGCAATTCCTAAAAGTTTCAGCCACTTAATCTTATAATATTATTTCATTTGAAAGAAAAGGTTTATGTCCTCAGGGTTGGTAACAGAGCTGATGTTTTAATGCCTTAGACTCTCTGCCAATGATTTTGTTTACAGTATTCCACCAACCCTTTTTCCCAGTTCCATGTTCGTTATTTCCATTGCGTAGAGCCTCCACTTGGTTGTTGCGGATTAGCTCATTGATCTTTGATTGTAGGGCAGCATTTCTTGGCGTTCCTATTTCTGATGGTACACAGGTGTTTAACTAGTGGCGACATATAAGGGGGGGGGAGGGTGGGGGGGGGGTCCCTTGAAGACACCTTGATCGCGGGGAAGCATTCGTTGAAAATAATTCTGAGGGTGTTATCAAATAAGTGAATCGCCTCGGTGATGATACGTGCAAAGATTCATATCGTATAAAAAAATTCATTTCATACATTGCCTGGAATATTGATATCTCAGACTACTTTGACGTCAAAATAGCTAGCGCTAAGTTTAGTTTTTTGAGAAAAGGACAAAGGAGGAGAAAATTTAGGAAGAGTAGAATCGAAACATGACATGCTGAGGAGGCATCTAAAACCTCAGTCATGACTTCGTTGTTGTTTCTTTTCTGCCAGAAGTTGAAATGACAACATTACACCGATTTCGTCTGCAGAAGAGGATATTTTGGAACTCTCTCCTGAATACAGGATTCATCCCAACGTATATAGAGAATACTTCATGGAAAGTGCTGGCGTACGGTATTTACGCACGAGTTGCTGACGTATCAGAAATCGAACGAGTGAGCGCAGCGAACGAGTAAGATTTCTGATACAAAAACAACGAGTGCGTAAATACCGTACAAAGCACTTTCCATGTGGTATTGTGTTTATTATAAACATACTGAGACATTCATCATTTTGGTGGCCTTTTTATTTTAAATCTTTCAAAAATGCTAAAATTTGCCGCTACACACTTACCGCAAAATGACAACGAAAACGAAGTATCAGCTTTTTAGTAAACACGTTTGTTAAAAACATAAATGACGGTAAGGATATGAGGTAATCCAAGAACTATAAGTAATCTTAACTGTTTGTTCTCAATGACACAGGTTGAAAAAAGGTGTTTCCGTTTCCGTTTTTGTAACGGTTATCTAACGGAAACCTGAATATCCGCGGACGGAATTGTAACGGGGAACACGTGTATCCGTCATGTTTCAGTTTCTGCGGACACGCTTAAACGCATCCCTTATACTCGCGTTTCCGTCAGGTTTACTCTTGCGGAAACGCTAACTGCCGTCATGTTTCCGCAGCTCGTAAATTCAGAGGATACTCAATTATCCGTTGAGTTTCCGGAACAATGAATGCGGAAACTCAGTTTGACCGGTTTACTTTCTGCAGCCTTCATGTTTCCACAGATTCCGCTTTCGGTGGATTATTCACTGGATTTCCTAAATGTGTTAACTTTCCTTAACCACCCAGTTTCGAATCATATGTTCATTCTATCCGGTATGTAAAAA